TACAAAGCTTTTCGTCGATGGCGCTCTCCGCTGAGCAAGCTACCCTACCCACCTGGCCCGCCTGAGCGAAGCATTGTCTCTGGAAATGCCAGTGACCTCCATCTAAACCCTGTCTTGCTTATGTTGAATTCGGGAATAAATATGGTCTGTCACTCTCTTTTCTCGACATTATCGCAATACATATGTTTATTCTGCCATGAAGGAAGTGTCATACATCTTAGATCCTATCGTCAACATACGATTGTTATCAATTCATATGAAGACTGTGTTGAATTTTTTGAAAGGCGTTCCAATATATACTCCGACCGCCCGACCATTACTATGGTTGACATGTACGTCAACTTGTATAACCCTTTCCAAATCAATTCTAGACTAACTCGGGTATCCTACAACCTAAGGATGGGCTGGACAAGTTTTAACGCAGGATTTATGCGATATGGCCCCGAATGGAGGGCTCATAGGCGGATGTATAACCAGGCGTTCAAACCCGAGGCTTCCTTAAACTATAGGCCCACACAAACAAGAAAGGTCAATGATTTCTTATACGGCCTGGTTAACACGCCTGAAGACTGGGAAAACCACAATCGAACGTGAATAAGATAACTTCATTGCCTAACTCTGGCGTTTGCATTCAGGTTCTAACTCCTCGATACAGGCTATCAGCGGCAATAATCATGTCCACAATGTATGATCATGATGTCGCCCCTAAAAACGACTTCTTCGTGGATCTTGCAGAGACTGCCATGAGTGGCCTTAAATATACTGTTCTCCCGGGTTCAATGCTGGTTAACGAACTCCCAATTCTTCGGTTCATTCCTACGTGGTTCCCAGGTGCCGGATTCAAGCGTATCGCCCTTGAAGTTAAATGCGGGATGTGCCCTTTGCTTCTGTGGAGAAAAAATTAGTATGCGACCTCTCCTATCATTTCCTCTCTCCGATACATGATTCCTATTTCATAGCAAGAAGGCAAGATTACTAACTGCATCGCCGCAGAACTTCTCGAAAATTGCAAGTCAAACGAAGAATATGCCCACATTATCGGTGTTGCGGGAACAAGTTACGCTGGTATGTTCTTATTTCCTTCCTGCAATTTGTCGCCCGAACTTGTCTGCAGTGCTATGGCTGCTCCTCGAGCGCTATAGCTCATCAATCATCCTTATTTCGTTTCTATCTGATGATCATGATCTGAGTGAGTAATCCGAACCGTCAACGAACTGTCAACATTTCACAAAGACCCTCTTCGTTTTTAAACCGTCTTCCGCCAGGCTGACCAACAGTTCTTTATTCCGCACTAGTTTCGATCGAATTTGAAGCCGAGACATTCATTTCCGCTCAGCCCCCGCCCAGCCCTCTGGCAATATAAATAAGGTCTCCAGCTCTCTCCAGGTCATATTCAACACCTCCTCGATACCTTGACTTTGCTCTGAGGCCATGAGGCTTCTAGCCTTCAATCAGCGTCATATTCGGGGACCCAAGCCGCCCACTCCCTTTTCTGGCCCTGGGTTCGATGCTGCAATGGCAGCTGTTGGGATGCTCGTTCTTCATGCGAACATCCATGTCCATGATCGTGCTCCCAAAAACCACTTGGCGACGACTTTCTCTTTCATCGCGGGTTCCCTCGGATATGCTGTGTTAATGCCTTTCGTGAATGACTTCGTCGGTGGTTACGCGATATCGGCATCTGAGTCTGGGCGGGGCAAATCTGGCTCATCCGCAGGCTTCGCCAACCCGCCTAGCCCTTCGAAGGCCGTCCTGCTCAGGGATGCTGCCTCTGGACAAGGCGGAGTCGACCCTTCTTTTGTAGTCGCTACATACGCGTCGTCTGTAAACACTGGAGGGACAGCTCGCTTTGGAGGGTCCCATCGAGGCGATGCTTCACAGGACTTGTCATCTGCTGGAGTCCAAGGCGATTCAACCCCAACGAACTCTCGGAACTACGATGAGGGTGAGTGACTGTTTAATCGCGTTGATGACTTCGCTGAACTAACCTTCGACCAAGGTTCCAACAGGGATGGATCAACTCCTCCGGACGAAGATCGTCCCCGTCGTTCATCGAGGTTGGCTAATGGGAAAAGTATGTCACAAAGGGCCAATCGCCACAGCATAGCGTGCTAATCTATAACATTACCCAGAACCTTCTACCGAAAAACCACCATTGAGCAAGAAACAGAACAGAGCGAGAGGAGGTCCTCCTCCGCCTCCTCCTCCCGGTGCGGGCACTACGCTAGGAATAGGGGATGGCTCCAAAGGCGACAACGACCATGCCTCCACTTTTTCTCTTGGTCCTCTTCTCCTCGCAGCATTTATTCTTTTTGTTTTTAGAAGGGCGTTCAACAAGAACAAGAAAAGGCTCATGGTGTCCAGGCATACCCTGCCTTCGAATCCCATGTGTGCACCTTCGGACATCTCAAATACGACTACAGCTCTGGATATTGTCCTCTCGAAATCCGCAAGCGAGATAATACATGCGATTTGTGGCCTTGTTCCTAAAGCGTATTACTCGAATATCAAGCCTGCAGCATGGCGTTTGTCATATCGACTCGGAGATGCTATCCGTGCACTCTCGACCACTGCACACTCTGTCCATCCTCTGAACTGTGGGCTTCCTGCGACCGAATTGCACTTCTCTAGAGATTCTATGATCACCGAAACATGTAATGGCACCTACTGCGGCGGTCTCACCCTCAATATGTCTATGCAACAAGCGGTGGAGTCTGTTGGACGAGCTGCTCCTGCCAATTTCGACGGCGTTCTTCGACAGACAAGTCGCTATCTCCGCAGAGTGCTTCTCTATGTGTCGGTCGTTATTCTCACTATGTTTACGAGGCAGCTTCTGTGGATCATACTACCCTTCATCGAAAATAGCTATGTTGAGCAGCCAATATCAGATATCCCTCGCCCTGCCGTGAGTTTTATCCTCCTCATTTTTTGCTCAGGGTTTTTGAAACTTTACTGTAGCCCGTCATAGGATCAGCTACCCTAGTCGCGACGCCGTTCAGACATTCTCCACGTAATATTCGAAAGAAAATTCCTTTGCCAGTAGGTTCTGGATGGGTTACTATAGAAGTAAAGAACCACAGGCCAAGTGATCACCAGGCAAGCCAGTCCTTAAATCTTTCCTTCGCCAATCAGTCGGACTGACTTTGACCTCAGCATCCCCCCAACGTTGGCAGTACAGAAATCAAGGTCGATGTCATTCCTGAATCTCAATCAGCTATTGAGGTTCTTGAACAGGCAAGTCTCGTATTAAAATCTGATCGTAGCCTTCATGCTCACCGTATTGGTTATACAGATCATCCCTGAGACCACCGCTGTCGCTGAACCTGAGAACGCCGCGAAGCTTGATAAATTAATCGCCGTTCTTGCCAAGTTATCCTTGGAAGAGGACGACGAGGTGTCCGGATATCCGGTTTTTGCCAACGAATCTACACAACCCCACGATAGCGAAGTTTGTATCTACCCAGGTTTCTTGGCCGACGTCGATGGGCAACATGAACAAGTTGATGACTCCAACAACTTCGTGCACCAATGTGATTCGAATGCTAACGATAACGACAAGTACAATAGCGGGGAATTTATATACCCTGCTGCTGTCGATGTCGATTCCGCAGAGCCAGTGGTCTCCAACGACGTCTTCAGGGAAGTCAAGGACGTGAACACGGATCCTGACACCGATATCTTTAATGTTCCTGTGAGTCACTTCATTGTAGAATCTGTGTTGCCTTTGTTGACAATTGACAGGCTAGGGATATTGGAACATCTATCCACGCTCCACAGAACTCGAGTTCTTCTAATAGAGTTGGCGACACTGGCCAAAGTAGCGTCATTGACAAGGGCAAGAAGAAGGCCGACTTGGATGTTGAGGCTGAGGATCAAATGAATGATGGTCCAGTGCGTTTTCGTTTTTGACCTGCATCGTTTCCGCGCCAACGGATGGCTGATATACATTCAAGAACGATGTTATTGTGGCTGTCGAAGAGAATGCAACGGCCATTGACCCGACACTTCCTGTCTTCATCGCTCTCCCGGGATACCGCCGACACCGTATTCGTCCTAAGCAGCGTCGTAGAGCATGGTTGGCCCGTCAGGAAGCTGCCGAGGCCGCTCAGACCATTGCCTGAACATCTCGAGCATGGCTGGCGCGCGAACATGTGGATCTCGAATATCATCCTCCGGCTCTGTGAAGTAGACTCTAGCGTGCTCCTTTTCCCGCACCCGCCTCCCAGGAAGCGCCGTCTGACGAGATAGCGTTTTCGGCACATCGTGGCTTTTTGGGATCGGAACGCTGACGAGCGTTTTCGATCTCATTGAAAAGCTACGGTGCTGCGTTGCGTGGGGGTGGGGACCAGCGTTGACGAGCGCTGGTCCTCACATCCATGTAGCGTGGGCGGGCTCCGCCTTCTTCACAGCGGCCGTCTATACGGTATACCCTTCGATATTCAAGACTGCTGCCTCAACTTTTCATTCGCCGTGCAATTTCTAGCCATCATCCTACCGTTCTTGGACCAGTTCACTCCTCTTGTTCTTGTATACAACATGCCCGACGATACCCCCCCCCCTGGATTCATACCCTTCGTATATATCTTATCTTTTTTTGTCTAATATCTTTCGCCCCATGTATGTACCCAAATCATGTAGCTTCCAGAGATTCGGTAGATTTGTTGCTTTTTGACTCCCAGATAATATTGTTTCATAAATTGTACATATTCATTTACCTGAATACCTCCGCAGCCGCGGCCGCGGGAGCCTAGTACCATGCTCTGGTTATCAGTAATCTGCATAAACGTGAAGCTGGAAAGGCGGATATATCAATTTCAAATCACTTTCATGCATTCACCCAAGATTTCAAGCTTTTAAATTTTAGATTTTGCAAGCTTCGAGCTTCGAGCTTCAAGCTTCAAAGCTTCAATGGCCACTGGGTCAGAAACCGTGGGAACCTTTTAAGCGCCGAATGCCTACGAGCGCTACATTGTTTTTCCTCCATCTCCGTATCTTTCCATGGCCGTGTGGCGAAATGGCATCGCGTCTGACTACGACTCAGAGCGAATCAGGAGATTGCAGGTTCGACCCCTGTCTCGGTCACAGTTTTTGCGATAGTTCTTTTACAAAAATCAAAGAAAAGTATGTATAAACAAATGTTTAAACAGTCAAACTTTGGTTCTTGTTTTCAACACAACATGAATACTGTCTTAAAATTTTTGAGGACAAGAGATGTTTCAAATTCAAGTTTTTCGTTGTCTACATGCATAAGTATGTGATACTACAGATTGTGCACCGTTTAAATGCGGAGTTCACCTCGGAGACGACGTGCCAAATTCATATCACGGGGCATTATGGTGACTCTCTTAGCATGGATGGTGGCAAGGTTTGCGTCCTCAAAGAGGCTTACAAGATACGCCTCAGACGCTTCTTGAAGCGCTGCTATGGCCGATGATTGAAAGCGCAGGTCCGTCTGGTAAAACAGTGTGATTGGATGAAGGTAATTTAGGACAGTGCAGGCGACTGCATACCTTGTATTCTTGCGCTATTTCCCGGACCAAGCGTTGGAATGGCAACTTTCTAATCAATAACTCTGTCGACTTTTGGTAGCGGCGAATTTCGCGAAGGGCGACGGTACCAGGACGGAAGCGATGGGGTTTCTTCACGCCTCCCAATGACATGGCCTAATAACATGTCGATATAAGTTTTGAATATATGGATTAGTGGTTGGGCATTTGCAAAAGGCATGGTATCTCTTACTTTTTTAGCAGTCTCTTTAACTCCTACCTGGGCATGGATGGTGGACTTCTTTGCGGTATTAAGCAAGTGTACTATCTGATTGCGTGGCTGTTTGCCTATTTGACCGGAAATGAGTTGATTAGTTGAAGAGAAAATAATGAGTGAACATAAAATGCCGTACCTCCTGTAGATTTGCGCGCGGATTGTTTCGTTCGGGCCATTTAAAATATGGAGCAGTATCTCCTGTGTTCAAGATTTCGTTTTACTGCAGTGTGTGTAGCTGGACATTTCTCTGGCTGTGGGCTCTGATTTTATATTCTTTCAACCTCTGAAATCTCTGAACAAACTTTCGCACTTCGAGTGAGTCACTACTAGTAGCAACAGCTTTAAACTTTCGCTTCTAAAGCTTGCTAAAACTCGTTACCTAATTGAATAAAGCCAAAATAGGCATTCAAATTCCTTTCCAGTGCAATACTAAATCATGTATCAACTGCCTATGAATCCCTTTGGTGTGGAGCACTCATATGTCGGAGCTTTGGAAGGCATGATTAAGCGGCTCATCATGCTTCTTCCAGGTATAGTCCTGTATAGCCTTGGAAGGAAGGTAAGAAGCGCTATTATATTTATGTGAACAGCATGGCATGCAAGCCGCAAAGTTAGATAGTTCTTGATCAAGTATTCTTCCTGACGCTGATCTAGGTTCCATCTCGGGAAGTCCCGATGGGCGCTTGATTCTTTACTTGGGGCGGTAACGTTAACTTATGCTGCAGCACCGCCGCATGGCGGCAGATTGCACGTTCCGGACATCAGACATGAACATGCGGAATAGGCCTGTATGTGAGGCGATAACGAATTCATGGAAAACAAATCAACATATGGCATGACATGCTGTGGAAGTCGTGCTTGAAGCAAAGATAATAAACACACCGATGGGAGATTTTTGACTGTTTAAGTCTTTAGGCTGGCTTACACTGACAGAACATCCATGAGTCAGCAATCGCGGTGATCAAGAAGCAGATTGATTCAAGGAGTGTTCGTGCTGTGTCGTCTGGAATTAGAAAAAATGGGACGGAAAGTAGGTATTGAGTTGTGTAGTTTGACATTGGCCTATCGCAGTTCGCCAAAATCAATGTATATAATACATACGCGGCTGTACGGCTGCTGGCTAAGAATATCGTGGGATCGCTGGAGGGGTAGAATAGGAGAGAATAGGGTAAGTAGAATTTGGATAGATTGTCGTCTCTGGAAGCTTGGGAAGCTTCCATAATGCGCTTGTGATTCTGAACCAAAGGGAGAACATAAATCTAGGTGATTACAAAATTCAAATGTCAGGGACAAGTCTTGGGAACTGCAGTCTCCTTTGAGTAGCTTTGAGACTTTGAATGTGTGCGCCGCACTGTGCAGAGATTTGCCAGGATTTGCCGCAGAAATATGGAAGTCAGAGTCAGACAACGACGACATTTTGGTAAACGTAAACCATGCACATTCGCTCATCAATGAGTCATATAAAATTTAGTAGTCTTCTCGCATCCTTAAGTATCGCCCGTGCCTTTCCGAGTTCATTTCTCAGGCTCCAGGTCTCTCCAGTTTTGAGGGTTGAAAGGGCCTGAAAGGGTCGAATGTCGATGACGTGAAAACAAAGAAGATTTGAATGATCCAAATGAAAGATGCTCATGTTTAGAATGTCAATTCTGCAGTGAACACGATGCTGGCCTGACATAGTGGTAAATCCTTATAGATCGCCAGACTTGGAATTGTAAATATCGCCAAGAGAAAACACCAAGTTCTGAGGCTTGGAAAGATGCGTCGTACTCCCGTTGTTTCGGAAGGAAATATAAAGAAAGACGGCCACTAAAGTGCCCAAGGTATCAGATATTTCTGGGGACAACGGCATCGCATGATGGAGGATGACAAGAGACAACGCGTTGGGCCTGATTCCACGGGCCACGTGGATAACGCGAATGTGTTATTTGGCGGGGTCCATGAAAGTTTGAGCAGGGTTTCTAGCTCCGCGATTGGCTCAGTACCTCTGTTTATCGCCATTTCACCCTCTCCGTCATCCACTCTCCATCGCCCGTGTTCGCCATGAACGTGGTGCAAGATCCCAGTAAGAAGGGCTCCATAAACTCCCTGCTCAACCCCCAGGACGTCTCTGCCTTCTCAAGTTTGCCATCCGGGCCCTTGGCGCCAAATCATACCCACTCGCAGAGTCATTCAACATATTATGCACCTGAGTATTCGCCTGCTGGGTCATTCCATCTCAGAGCTGCCAACTGGGAGAGTTCTGATGATCCTGCTAGACGGAAAGCCTTGGATAGTGGCTCAATGCCTCGATACCCGCCTCAATTGACCCAATCTCAACTACCGGAAATGCACAGTCAATCGTCAACAAGTAATTACGCCTATGCCACGTCTTCGGGAATGATGAGGGACAGGATGCAGGAATCTCAGGAGTATGCGGGCGATGGACATATGTGGCAGCATCATACCAGTCAACATGATTCTATGAACATGTCATACGGGAGGTCCATCGCACCCATGTATTCTGACGAGCGAGCAGGTGCATTCTCATCAGGTGTTGTATTTCGCTTTGTTCTAACTGTTATTTTGCATTAGCGTTATCGGGCGGCTACCGTTCGTCAAGTTTGTCTGCTTTCACCTTGTCCTTCGAAATGGCTCATTTTCTATATAGGTATTAATTATCCCTCGGGATACGACAGCCAATCGGGCTCAGGTACCGGAGCCTCTCAGCGTAAGACTCTCCTCGGTCTCTCTTATTTCTATATTTTTTTTATAACCATCCACTTTTCCCAATAGAATGGCAAACCGCCGAAAGGGCTTCGGTGAGGCTGGTGGCTAGGGAATTGTCATCTCAGCCAACCTCGAGTGCCCAGGATGAGCGGTATACCTATTATCAACAACCACGTTATGATGCCTCCGTGGAGCGACATTCCCCACAGCAGCAGCAGCAACAAATTGATACCACCATATCATCTTCTCATTCCCAACATCCGGAACCAACCAGACCTTTTGGCCCCGCTTCGTCCAAACGATCGCATCCGGACAGTGAAGTTAACCCAGCTCCCAAGACGAAACGACCCAGAGCGAAAGCGAAAGCTACAGGCTCAGAATCATCGACCCCCACCCCAACAGGTACGTGTATGTGCCGTGTCTTCGGGAATTGCACAAGACCTCTTCCATCTATCCCCTTGGCCTTTGGGGCCTGCCTAAGTTGGCCAATCGCCGCTTAGAACTGCCATGCTAGTTCCCTCGTTCTCATCCTAAAATAACTCTTTACTATTCCAACCTGCCCCATCTGCTCCTTCTTGTTTCATGCGGCAATTTTATCTGACTGCTGACTACTAGGACGTACTTCCAAGCGTGGATACAATGCCAAAAAACGTAGCGAGGCCGCCTTTATTTCTGCCCAAAATGGTATGTCATCATCTTGTCACAGCCGGCTGCAACCATCCGCGGACGGTTATCTCTATCGCCGCCTTCTTGAAGTTCTTCAACTGGTTGCGCCTGTTTGAACATAGGTCACGAGTTTGCGCCTGGCATTGCGCTGCGCTCTCGTTTCACCCCCGCCCATTATTCCCAGCGTGTCTTTGCAAGAATTTTGCCAGCAATTACTGATTCTTTCTCCCTGAAGCTTTGCTAAGGGCCCAGCGCGAGGGCTCTCAAGGACACGTTCAGGGCACCAGTTCTGGTGTGTAGCTTCATGCGTGTCATCGATTACGTCTGATTGACTTTTTCCATGGGTACAGATTCGCATTCACCCTCAAATCCTCCGACTGGTGATAATGGCGGTGTTGAACAGATATACATGCCCGAACTCCAATTCGCGCGATGCATGTCCAACCGTTATAAAAACGAGGAGTTTCCGCGGTGTGTTTCGTGTACGCGCCGCTGGGCGGGGGATACTTGCCGTTTCCAAGGAATCCGATTCTTCATGCGCGACGCTCAGAAAAAATTAGTGGGTATCAGCTTCCAGGAGCATCCTTCCGTGGGACCGGCGCCTGTGATGGAATTTCCCAGCAAATGGAATCGAAGCTTCGAGCAAGAACACGCAAAACGATCCAAAGTCAGTGCTTTTTGTCCTTGACACCCTACTCAGCTCTATGATTTCTGACTGATTATTACATTGTTATCTTTGTGCACAATATAGCTCTCGATCGCCAAAGCTCTCCTACCAACATTGAAAGCAGAACAGGAACATATCAAGTCATCTGAAATTGTTCGACGACCTCGCGAATGCGATGTTCGTGTGACGTGTGGTACGATCATAACCATCTCTGCACATTAATTAACTAATTCACATTTCATTTAGACACATGCATGACATCACTATTTTCAACTTCGTT